TCTTTTCTCAAGTCTACATATCGAAAGTGTGGTTGCAGGTGATGAAATATACAAGGATCGGATTCTGTCAATATATCAGGATTGCGCTATTTTTTTTACTCCTTTCGTGCTATATGTTTATGAGGAATGATTAAATGTTGTTAAAGAGCGATGGTTGAATATCAAAGGGTTTAAGAGTCTGATATGAATCTATATAGGATTATATGGAGGGTCGTATTAACTGCAAAGAAAAGAGACCATCTTTTTTCAAGCAAATATTACTGTATTAATAAACCTGATGAAATATATTATTTTTATTTAACACAAAGAGTCTATCAATTATTCAACTAAAAATATTCAATTACTTCAAGTTAAATAAAATGGCTGACTATCATTATAAATATTTAAAACTTCATTCCTCAAAGATTTTCCTGCTTTTGATTTCACGCAGAGAAATGTATAGTAAAAATTACCCTGAATTTTATAGGAATTTGGTGACACTACAGGGTGAGGGTAAAAATTACTATACACATTGTAAAAATTGCTGTGCACATTCTAAAAATTAGAATATGCACAGTAATTTTTACCCTCACCCTCCAATGTCACCAAATTACTATAAAATTAAGAGTAATTTTTACTATACATTTCTCTGCGTGTTCATTTGACAACAATTTAATCACTATAGCACCAAAAAAAAATGGAAATATTAAGAAGTGAAACATTTTAGAAATTAAAGTTGAAAAGATTCATCAAAAGTGGATAAATCAAAAGAAGATGATGAAAAAAAAAAATCTTCAAGGGCGGAGTCACAAACGAAGATGGGAGGAATATGATTCGCCCATGCGCAGTGTTTCTCATTTCAAGTCTTGATAAATAACCATGTCCTTCATCACGAGTGTTTAGGATTCCTTAGTAAAAGTCATTTTGAATAGTCCGCCAAAATAAGTCAGCGCCAGACTGTCTGCGGGATTTTCCTAGTCGTGTCTACGGGGTCATTATTATCGACATGAATACAAGTGTTTACTCATCGTTATTGACAAAGGACTTGACCTCTTCTAAAATTTAACATACAATCTAACTATTGAATAGAGATAAAAATACATATCTTAGGTACTCTTAAAAGGTACACAGGATTTTAAAGGTAGTAGACGGATTTGGCGCCAGTAGCATTAATTCTGCAAATACCTTTTCTCGGTTCATTCAATTGATGAAGGACGTTGTGAAATATTGTTGGGAAAAAACCTGTTTTTTTCGTGGTGGTGTACTAGGTACAATTTTATCTTTTAAAATCCTTCACCACAAAAAAGTTTTGACGTCATGATGGCGGACATTTTGCAATACTTTCAACTTCCTGACGACTGTACAGGTAAGGAAAGGAAAGGCTTTCTATTTTAGAGTCTCGGCTTATATTATGAGGTCGAACGAAGTGAGACTAACAGGTCACCGACACCCAGTAATGTTTATTATGTTTACTTAGGAACGACAAACGTTGACACTTAATGAGTAAGGGTTTTTCCAAACCTGTAATTTTCACCGTGAGGGAGCTGTATTCTAAGATAGAAAAAAGACCCTTGCAAATTTTCCAAGCATTGGGGTAAAGTTTCTAGGATATGACAATAGATTTTAGTGCACTTCAAAGTCGTACAGATTATCATTATTTATTTTATTATTTTGCTGATGACAGGGTGCGGTTCTTCTTTGTCTCTGCTGTTTTAAATAACCACAAGTGTTTATAAAGTATTTTCTCGGTTGTTATTGGGATTTCTGAAGGGTTAAAATGGTTAGATAAAATATTCCACAGGATTAGAATCGCTTAATGAGGTCACATTTATTTCATTATAATTACCTTCATTATAAGCAATAAAAGTTCATGCCCTTCCATTGATCCCAAAGTCCCTCCAATCATGGTCATTATTTCAACTATTAGAATTTCTATTGAATCAATTATCATAGTAATTAAAAATCATTTGAGGCAGTAACTAAAATTGCAATAATTTATTTGAAATTAATCAATTATTACTAAAGTCAATTTTTTATTCATGTTCAAGTTTATGGGATTTATTTGTGAGGAATATATTTAAAAAATAATTGAGAGTCAATGTTTCATTGTTTATTTAATATAATGTGAAGGATGTGGATAAACATACTAGAATAGTGAGCTTTCAGCTATCACTACTTTTTAAGCTTCTTATTTTTGAGTAAAGTTTGAAAAGTATAGATGTTGTCTTTTAATTTGAGTTAATAAGTGTAAGACTGATCGTATTTATTAACAGCTGTATTTAGTAATTTATGTAACTCTAACTAGTTTACTATTTCTCACTCAATTTAAGTCTCATCCGCTATAAGCGGATCGACCGGAGCTAGTCTTTTAATGTCGGGATAGCCTTTCTCACTCTTTTGACGTTGGAAGCCTATAACAAACATTATCTGGCATAATGCCCCCGTGTAAACATATCTCACGTGTCCCGATCCACAATCCTTCACTATCTCGTTGTTTGTTTCTATGCGTGAAACCCTCACTCATGTAATTCTTGCTACAATTTTCCCTTAGTATCGTTTCTTGCTTTACAAACGAAAGCCGGATGAATGACTGATTAAATATGATCAAGAGAACCGGAGTTAGTGACTCAGTTGAGTTTATTTAGTCATTTAACATCGCGAAGAAATTTTCTATGATGGATAAGCTGATGGCTTTTTTACGGTGCCCCCTTCTTCCGGTTTAGCACGCGACAATTACAGTCTTCCTTAGCCTATTGTGTGCTCAAGAGAAATAAAAACCGCGTATGGTTTATCAGTTGGGATTTTAATCCAAGGGGTTTACAGATAAAATTCGATATTTGAGTATTAAGTTTTTTTCATGGATTATTTGTGAAAAGGTATTACTAAGGTGTCTAGAGGTTGATATTAAACAAGTGTCGTTTAAAGTTTATCAAATTTGTGTTGAGCAATAGAGAATTTAAAAAATTCCATTGTCATTTTCTTTCATGTAATCTTGTTTTACCATTCTGGAATAAAAGATTAAAAGATCATCTTTTTTTGTCAGATAAATATAGAATTTGATAAATGACCAGTTATTAATTTCCTCTTTTTTCAATATTTTTATATCTTTTTGTAAAATTTATATTCAAATCTAGGTGTAAAAAATTTTTAAATCAAAATTGTAAATGTTTTAATTCATTTTGATATTTTTAGAATTTTAAATTAGATGAAATATTTTTCACAGTTACTTTATTTCTATCAAAAATAGTGATAGGTTTGTATCTTGGGGTATATTCGTATCAAAAGTAATTATGAATATAAATGTCTGCTCATTTATTCTCTTCATTTCTTAGCTATATAAAATTCCGTAACGGATGCCGCTCAACAGTAGCTAACTCAAATGTCGGCATAACTTTGAATTAATACTGGACTAACACGCATGTGATTTGTAATATTTCAAGTTTTCTTTTTCTAACACTATGAGTATTTAATAACATATTTATAAAATAGAAATATCTTTTATACACTACAGGCTTAACAATACAATCAAATTTTGTACATTTGAAAATGAAGCTGAATGAGAAAAAAAAAATTTCTTTCTCAAGAAATAAAAATTTAACATAATTACTTTTAAATGTATTATAATTTTTTTTGCAACAAATAATTCAATTGCATTTTATGGAGTTATTTAAATCACAATAATCAGTCTTACATCACCAATCAACTGCAAAAATTACTTTAATCACAAAAAAACTTCTCTATCACCACAATTTTTAATTACTTACGACACATGAAAAATATTTATCATTTAAATGTCAGGTGATTAAAAAAAATTTCCCTGATGTTAACGTTATCTTATTAATAACTTCACCATTGAAATCACATGTCCATTCCAATGTTGATATACACATTTTAAATTCATCATTCAATCAATAAAACGTTCAATCAAACAACAAATTAACATTAATATTTGACATTATTTAAAGAATCATCGACATAATAGTAGCCATTCATACGAGATGATACGTTTTCCCCTTCTTAAACCACAAGAAGACGAGTCTTGAGTTGTTAAAGAATCCCCCACCCCCACAATCCAAGAAAGACTTTAGGGCCTGAAAAACTATTTAGGGACTTAGCAGAGGGGATAGCGCTGCAGTTTGAGTGAGTCCGTCCTGTCGAGAGTTGTGTGACTCTACATCGCTCACAGTTTAACTGAACCAGTGACTAGTTTCCGACGGTTCATTCGGTGTTAAATATCATCCATCAAGTGTAGTTGAATCAGTGCAATTTTATTTAACGTGTTATTCTACTTTCTATCCTAACACAACATACATACGTAGACAAGTGTTGTAGAAATTAACAAGTGTACAAAAATACATGGATTTAGTGAATAAGTGATTGATAATATTATCTTGAAACGGAGTCTTGAATTGCGATTTACGTTGAATAGTTAAATAAAAGCTCTGCATAAAATAACGGTGAGTGAATATTGATAACTTGCGTATTAGACTAGGGTTCATCTAGACATTGAACTTGGTATCAGATTTTTTTTATTGTCATCTTTGACGATTAAAAAAATAATTGTGAATGATCAGTGATACCTGTTAGGTTGCATTCCTTGAACTCGAAGTACAAGATGTTTTTATGTTCGCCGACGGTTGGTTGGGATATTTTATGTCAGAAGATTGTCATTTTATTATACAATTTTTTATTTAACTTTTCCGCTACCTTCAATCATTGGAGGAAAGTAAAAAAATGTCAATCCAGTCATTGTCATAGGCGCGTTTATGGAATATTCCACCTTCAAGATCTTACGTTTTTTTTTCTTTGATCCTTTAATGATATATCAAACAATGGAAAAACCATTCTGACACACTGACACTTTTCTTGAGTACAGTTTCCGGTCGGCGTATTGAATGATTTTCAAAGTCTAATACACTTGATACTTGATGGCGACAGAGTATAACAATAATCAAGACCTTTCCACTAAGTAAGAAAATAATGCTTCAAATGTTTGACACAATATATTTCTTGTGATGTAGGTGGAGTACTTAGATCGTTGGATCGCTCAGACGAGAACGTACGGTGGATCTGTGGCAACGGCATCAAATTCGTTGGATCAGAGAGTGACGTCGGTAAACGCAACGACGACGAGGGAGGACCAGCACTGGTGGTGCGAGGGTTACGTTGGCAACGAGTGTGAAAGAGATAAGGGCGCAGCAGTGGCGGGTGAGCTGGCTTGCCTAGCAGGCTATATGGCGGGGTATCTGAAGGCGGCGGGTGCTACATGCGCCCCGACCGGAGGCCCCCAATACCATCCTCATGGTCATCCAGCTATGGGGGTTGGTACACATCCTCATGCACATTCTCATGGACATCCTGGTGGACCTCATCCTGGACTACCTTCACCATTTGCACTTGCTACACATGGACATCCGCACCCGCATCCGCTTGATCATGGACTTGGCGCATTCCCACAAGGTAAGCTGACCTTTTTATACCGTCACCACAGTATTAGCATAAAGTAGATGTAGTTCAGGAAATAAGAGAATTGCTGTACGTGATTTTGGTGAAAAAGTGCTTTCTTGGAAATTTTTTCTTCAAGAATAGAATATTTTTGCTCGGCAGGTGAATTTCTTTGGGTCAAGATATAGGGGTAGCTAGAATAATCTTTTAGAGCTGACATATTTTCTCACAAAGAGATATTTGTATAATTGAAGGTTTCTTGATGATGGAGAAATTTATTCAATCTCTTATCACTATCAAACTTTATTAGAAGAATCGATTTGGAGTTGGAGATAGTTCAAAAAAATATTTGAATAGATTAGTCGTTGAAGGCATTCAGCTTTTCTTCTTCAATACAATTTTACATGTCAAATATTTTTAATCATCCAGGTTTGCATTTAATTATGTTGTATTCAAAAATTCCTAGTACTTAAATCAAAATATCCATTTGGAGCTCAAATTTACAAAATGTATTTAATTTAAGTTTCATTTTAAGAGAGTAAGGTGCAGGAGAATTCAGTGCACTTGGAGTGCAAGTAACACCGAAATAGTTTTGTTAATGTTACGGTAGCAGACTTGAAGCAAGTATCCTGAAAGCTCTATACCCTATTTGACAACATTGTAATGTCTTTAGTCTGCACTCCTTCATGACACATTAACTCTATTTAATTTATATTGACTAATGTACCAATCGATGTATCGAATGAAGCCTTTTTACCGTTTCTATGGCTTCTTTACTATGCATCAAACAATTCGCACTACATTTGTTATTTCAAGACATCTTCAACAGTTTTTTTTTCCAACTTGATCTATTTTTTAACATATATAAATGTATCTCTCGAAATTTTTTATTTTCAATTACGATTTTTTTTTCCTCGGAAGATTGAAGAGTTCGTTCATCTACATCAGGACATTTTAGCAGTGAGAGTAGAAAAAGCTTGAGGGTGAGGAAGGTTCCGAGAATACGAGAGGGAATAGAGGCAAAAAATGTAGTGTACGACGGAGAGTGAGTGAGAGAGAATGAGAGTAAGCCGCTTATCAGGGTGGCGGCAGGCCGTGCAGGACCAACCAACGCGAATTGCGCTGAGAGTTTCCATGGAAACATGGATGGTATCCGTTCGTTGAGTTTGCTTTTCTGTCCTTGTTGTCATCTACGCACGACTATATCATTTTACTCGAGCGATACTCAGATATAAGATGCCTGAAAGTCGGGTTTCTGACATTCATCAGGACTTTTTTCTTCTAGTTTTTATAATAAATTTCTTACATGAAAACAATATATCATATTAGTATTATTATCGACTTTTTCGATTAAGAAAAGTAATCAATATCTTCATTCCACTTTGATTTGATGATTTAATTCAAATTAAAGGTCTGATTGAGTTTTATCAAATAATAATTGAGCTTCAAAGTAACTGAGTCTAAAGTGTCGAGTGTGATTGATACAATTTTATCAACATTCAGGAACCAATATGGATTTGATATATTTGAAAGTGTGAATGAATAAAAATTCCATAACTTGATAATTTTGCACAACAAGGTATAAATCATCTCCTACACCACCACCCATAAAGTATCATTGGAAATAAACATGAGCACTCATTTTTCATCAATATTTTTTTTCATCTGAACTAATGGAGCATTGGCATTAAAGAGCAACAATAAAGTTTGAAAATGTAAAAAGAGATGTCGTGGGTGTTCGCGTGGGAAAAGCATCAGTTGGCTGTTGAATCTCTTGTTTTCTCTGTCTCTGTTGTCACAACGATATATTGCTGAGCCACTTAACTCAGGGAGACTTTGCCATGTTATTCACTCTTTAATACCAAAGGGATCGAAAGAAATAAACCTGTACGTGAGTCAATGCCGACGAGTTAACACCCTTTGAATAAAATAAATAGTTTGAAAATTGGACATTTTAAGTTAAGATAAACAAACCATCATTTTTGTAAAATCATTTACATAGATTGTGCTTTTATATGAAGAAAATGAAAGACACAATAAACCTGTCGGTTTAAGGAAGCACCAATCACTCAATTAGGTATCAAGTAGAGAGCGGCGCGTGACTCGGCACGTGCCAGGGTTGTTACTGACTGGCCAACGAATAAGCGACGGTTGGAGGCTAAGGTATATATAACAACAGCCAGCATTTCACAAGGTAGAAAGAGAAAATAAAAAGAGAAAGAGTCTCCCAGAGTTATTTTTACGCGTGTCACGAATGCCCATATCAAGTGGGTGGGTCTTTTTGAGGGTGAGAAAAAGAACCAGAAGTGACTGACGAAGAGGCCAACCAAATATAAATCTAGACCTAATTGTAGGGTAAACACTTCAACTTGAGTGAAATATCACGTACTACTCCAAACCATAATCATTCTTCTATTTGGCATATATAAGGTTCCTCTTACTCATTGTTTTATTTGTCAAATATTCTAATTGACTTTCAATTTATTTTGATGTCATTATTATTTTCCTTTCATGGTTGCTATTGGGATATTTCTATCAACATGTGCAGAGGGATATTGTGCTGTAAATTATAAGAGTAATTTACAGTTATATCGAAAGGTGCATATTTTGTAACGTTAAACTTATCCGATTATATTATATAGTCCCGGATGTCTACTATATTTAATTACTTTAGTTCTCGTCTTACTTCGTACTTTTAAAGATTACGCTGCAATTGATGAAGGCCACCCACTTATTTAGTCATTTTAGATGTTGTTGAATTTTTTTTTACGTCTTAATATAAATAAATTCAAATGTTTTAAATAATATTTTTTGCCAAGTCTTGACATTAACTGACATGATGAATAAAAAGTTCATCTTTTAAGAAAATTATTGTTACAAAATACTAGATGATCATCAAGGAAGAACTTGCTGATTTGTTTGCTAAAAATTCTGTGCTTTTTTAAAAGTTTGCTATCTTTTGGCATTCACCGAAATAACGTTGGTGAGAGTGTGAAGAAGCTGAAGTTAGTTCAATGTTTTTACAACTGATGGCCTTTTAGAAAAGTCCTCGCGGCATCATCACCACTCTGGTTGAACTTAACAAGGGATGATGTGTGCAAAAGTCACGTGCTCATCATCCCATGGTCCTATGTAGAATAATCCAGTTAGCTTCGGTGCATTTTAACTTTTAATTAATTTTCGATTTTCTCCGACGGTAGTTTCTCTTCTACCACTATGTATACATTACGACGTGGATCCACTGAACTCTGACGTGACAGTACATTTTGTATTCTATGAATATTGAAGTAGATTTTATTTCAACTGCCCCTGATATTTCTACCACACGTATGCATTAAATCATTCATTTTAACAAAATTATATTCCTAGGATGATGATTTCTGTCATTATTCTGCTTTTATCCTGTCTTCATTGATGTTGAAAATTATTTCATCAACATGTTTTTATTTAAAATAAATAGTTTAAATAAATGTGATGGAGAAATTTAAAAATTGCTTATGACTCAATTTGAATTAAAGCTTTAAAAGAAAGATAGGATGGATTAAATAATCACAAAGAATAAAATATTCAAACGGTATAGTAGATTACAGCATTCCTCAATTTAACGATGGGTATGATCGAATAACATGCACTTAAAGTCAAGAGAAGAGATTGTGAAATTTTCTGGGATAAAAAGAATCCAATAAACGGAAAACGAATTCGATATTAGGGTCGCGTCTGATCTTGTTGCGGGCCAATGAGCCGAAGGCAGCCTTAGTATACCATCCCTAGCACGCGTCGATGATAATAAATCGAATCATACTTTGACTGTACTCAGCGGGTGTTTACTCATGCTACTAGGGTTGTTATATATATTTGAGTGTGAGTGAAAGGTTACATTTTGTTTCCCAGATTGAGTTCATTAATTTTATCAATAACACTTGGCATTCCTCTAAATATCTCCAACTACTTCGGAACCAAAAGAATTCATTTACATTAAAATTATCAAAGTTTCTTTTTTTTTTTTCAAGTCATTAAAATTTCTATCAAATATTATTTTATAAATAAACATTAATATCCAAGTTTAGACATAAATAAATTGTTCTGACGTTTCAACTCCATCAAGTTGATTCCAAGTTTCCATGTTTCCAAGACCAGTGGCGAATATCTTCAAGTGTTGTTGTATTGAGCCAAAATGATGATCTTGTAATAGCTAAATAATGAGACCTGTTTAACCTCATATGAATTAGTTATAATATCTCAAGCTCCATTAACAAAAATTCACAATAGGATTTACTTGGAATCCTCTGACACTCCTAAGACTAGTCACAATGGCGGCATGTTTTTCAAAATGGCGGTGGCATTGTCTTTCATGAGAATACAAAGAGATTCCCGCAGGTCTTGTTATACGCCTCCATTCAAGATGCTATCCCCAAAGATAACCACCCACGCACCAATCAGTTCAACTACACAGCACGTAGCTTCTTTGAAGATTCCAATCATAGATCTGATGACCAGAAGCTAGAACTCATTTCAATCAATAATCCTCATAAAAAAGATCAAAAATGCTTACTAATACTTCTTTTATTCACGATATATTATCTATGATATCTAATCTGTTCGTTACATACTTTCTCTTGAATTATACATCCCACTCGACAAGTTCGTTAGTTGACTTTGGATGTTAAATCGATCTTGGTTATTGTCATATCCATGTCAATGTTTCAGTATCGACCTAAAGTATTTCTGTAACAATTTCAAGTACAACTCGTATGCTTGAAATAAGAATATCACCAAGACATATTTCCAGCCACTCCCGCGGCTTGTCTTTCTCCTTTCGGTGACTCTTCTTTTTTTTTTTCTTTCTTTTTTATTTTAAAAGAGTATAACTCTTGGCTCGTTCTTGTGTAGTTGTTTTGCTTCGTGACATACGAAGGAAACGAGAGGAAGAAAGATAGAGACAAAGGCTCAAAGAGGATGAACTGTGAGGTTAAAAGAGGAATGAAAGGGGAAAAAGAGGGAGCAAGAGGCACACCAACATGGCCGCGAAACCGGGAGCATCGATCGACCCGTAAACATTGCCATTGTGCTCCCGACGAACGCCGCACGTATCAGCTCGTATATACATCAAGTAACTTTGGCTACGCTCTTTCCCAAGATCCACCGGTTCCATTCGATTCGCTCCTCATTTCATTTTCTATACTCGTTTATAAATGTATTTGTATGTATGTTAATACCAACATCATCTGTGTGTGTGTTGGTAGTTTCGAAAACATATTGAGTTTTTGATATTAAATTTTTAAAAAATTTAATTCTTGATTTATAGAGATTTAAAAATGAAAAAGAAAAAAAAAACGAATTCCATTTTCCATCGACTGTCGTAAAGTCGATTGTTAATGCGACATCAGCGTTCTCGCAATGGACTCAGCTAGTCTCGAGAACAGCTGGAAGTTCACCGCGAATCTCTCTGGATACTCTCTCTTATGCTTCTAGGGTGTACCTATATAGTTTTCCCCTCTCACCCGCCACCCTACTCTCGTCGCCTTTTCCTCATAAGCGGATTACGTGGGTCCCGAAACGAGCCCAGTGAGGCTCGACAGCGGGTCAGGGGAGTAGAAATGAGGGGAGGGACCACCGCTCAAAATTACGCTATCGCATCCGAGCAATGCTCTTGTCATTTCTCTCATCATATACGTTTACTTCATATATTATAAAATACATAGGCATATATGGATTTGCCAATTCACTCTTTGTGGCTTGAGAAGATTTTTAAATTATTTTTATTACCGTCTCTTTATCATATTATCATCGAAGCTAAATTGTTTCTATGACTCGAAATTTTCGTGAATATTTTAAAAATTTTTTATCGAATGTAACTCTTTTATGAAAAATAAAATTTCATTCTATTATTTATAATAGTAATAATGAATTTTCATTATTACAGGCGTCACACAGAGAAAGCAGAGACGGGAACGGACGACCTTTAGCAGAGCTCAATTAGATGTGCTTGAAGGATTGTTCACCAAGACACGATATCCAGATATCTTTATGAGGGAAGAAGTTGCAATGAAAATCAATTTACCGGAATCAAGAGTACAGGTAAGAACTATTATTTTTCTACTTACTGTTTAGCAATATATCTTTCCATTAAATTCGAAATAATTTCTAATGAAATAAAAAAATATAAGCTTCACAACAATTGGGACATGTTTTAAAGTTAACTTTACATTAAAATAATTTATGAAATCTAATAATTATCAATAATTAGTTATAATATTTGGAATGAATATATTTTAAGGAGCAGTCCAAGAATATAATCGAATTTATTATAATTATTTTCGAAGTTTATCTAAACCAACATTCAGATAGAATAGTATTTGAATAAATTTATTTCGATATATTTATTATATTTCTCCTTAGAGTAGTGTATAATCAGAATGTATCAATAGTATAAAATGTGGAATAGGTCGTCAGCGTAATAAACATAATATGTTTAAGTGATAGAAGTCGATATTTGGTCAGGCACATTCGATGACTTGCACAAACCAATGTATAACATGGTCCAAAATGCGTTTGATAATAAATCACATAACGTCCAAAATGACTTGATGCATGTGGTAGTGGAATGAGGGGCTAAAAAGCTTCGTGCTTCTGCAAGCACGAGTGAGATTTGAGGTATTTACACAAGTCAAAGTCACCCCAGCCAACTTCACTCTCTTTTCCTCTCTAATCTTTTCCCTTGTCTTTTCATTGTGGATGAAGCGTTGATAGATGTTGCCAAGCGCCTTGTTGACGCTTTTATTGCGGTCCCTGTAACATCTCCATTCGCGACAGGGAGTAAAAGTCGAGAAACTCTATAATATGCCTCCAGTACATTCGTCCTCTTTAGGATTCAGTATTCATTTCAATTTCTCTTGTGATACGTTTAACCTAAGCAGATGCAGTGAGGTGATTTTTTATTTGGTATTTTATTTGAATGATAAATAAAAAGATCATTTATTATTATTTTTTTTTTTTGCTCTTGAAATAATAAAAAATTATTATTGCATACAAAACAAAAGATGACAATTAAAAAATTTTGATTAATATAAAAAAAAAAAAATTGAAAATCAAATTATTTCTTTGTTCTAATCAAAAGTTATACATCAAAGGATTTTTTAAATAATTGTATCAAAAAAATCTCAAACTGAATAATAGAACACTTTATTCATTCAATTAAATAAATTGAAAAAATGACAAAAAAAAAAATAGAAATGATCTTTTGTAACGATTCAAAAAAAAAAATATAATCACTTTTAGAGTGGAATTTTTTTCTCAGTATGTGGCATTTAAAAAGTTGGTAGTATTTATAAGCTTTTTTACGCCATGTATCACCTTCGATGTCTGCTTACAAACTGTCACGTGATTTAATACCATCATTATTCCACCCTCTTTTGAATGCTCCTCTCCGATCCAGTAAACGCATCAAAAGAGAGAGAGAGAGAGAAAGCCAACGATAGTACCCTTACGGGGGGATTAAGGTCCCCAAGAACGTCGAGGCTCGGCCATCAGGCGATAGGGACAAAAGCAAGGAGATTCAGCCCCCGAGCTTCCAGCCCGCAGTTAAGCCGATGTGAATGGCGAGCAACTAGAAAGGGGTGTACATACATACGTATACACGTTCATACTGACGATAGTCGTACCAGGGGAAAAAAGTGAGTCTTTTACCTATCCCCACTAGTTTTAATCTTTGACTATATGAGGTAAGGGCGAGCATACATAAGCTACGCACTCTTACTGTGTCAATGTACAGCCAATAACATTGATGGGAGATGGATGGTATTCAGAAGTAATGCGGTGAACTGCAAAACGGAACCGTACTCACGGTATATTCTACCGATTTGTTCATGGATTATAACCCTCCCTCTCTTCCCCACTCTTCTTTTCCTCCTGACTCAAATCGACAATGACGCGATGCGCGAGAAAGCCGCAGATGCAACGTTTGTTCGATCAATCCACGCGAAAAACTGATCAACGGAAGATTAAAGATTTTTTTTTTATCGGAAATTTTTTTACTTGCTAGTAGTATAACTATTAATCATTCCGACGCTTCATCATATCTCATACAATTTTTTTTTTTAATTTTTAAATAATTATTATTGTATAAAGAAAATTATTATATACTTTCTTTTTTAATTTATTAGCTTTAATATTTAATATTTTACTGAACTTATGATTTGAAAAAAAGAATCTATGACCTCTTGAGTAAATTTTATTATTTAATTTCAAGTTAATTCGTTACTTTTATTAAAATTATTTGTTTAGTAATTAAATTTTGGAAAAATCAAATTACAATTCAACTTTGCCTTCTAGCAGGTATAAATAAAAAAATGTTAATTAAATTAATATGGAATATTTTCATGTTAAAAAGCGCTAGATATTTCTATTTCGCGCCTCCTCAGCAAAGCAAACAGACAAACATATTTGTCATAATAATGTCAACGCAGCTGTGGCAGTTGGTATAAGAGTGTGGTACAGGAAACAAAAGAGACGAAAAGCTAGCAAGAGCCAAAGAGAAGAGAGAGAGAGATAGCGAAAATAAAATGATGATAGAAAAGATCCTATGTAGATACAAACCAGATGGTAGTGCAATTTGCACCTCGACACAAACAGGAAACAAACTAGAGCTGTTGAAATCAGAAAAAGAAGGGGAAGATTGTTCGAAGGAGACGAGTCACCGCGGGCGGTTACGTTAGTTTTCGGGGTTACGCTTCTGAAATTCAATGTAGGGATATGGCTTTCAGTTTGTTTGACGCAAGGGGTGTCACTATGTAAACATGGGGTGATAATGGGCTGTCTCCGAGCATCTTCAATGATCGTCCCTCTTGCGGTTGATACAAATATTCTAAAAGTTACTTTTTTAATACATCAACTTTCATCAAATCTGAGAAATTAATTTTTTCCTTGATGAATAGAAGGTTAATTTTATTCTATTTTTCATAGCTAAAGTTTCTAATAAACTATAGATCAATAGAAAGCACTTATCTCATAATAACAATGGTCATAATACTGATGATAATAATCATAATAATAGTGAACTGGATCTGGTTTTAAAGGCACAGAGCGTAGATTCATAGGATCGCACCCCAAGCCACATTGTACTGGGATTACGTTCAGAGGGTGGGTGTGTGAGGTTACGGCACACTACTCAAGGGAAAACGATTTTTTTGTCTCCACTTTTATCCAAGTATACGTGAGTGTGCACGTTCAGATTCTATTTCACACTCATGAAAAAGTAATGTGTGCAAAAGTCTATATATTTTTCTGGATGTTGTTGATGTAACATCCTCGTATTATTGTATTGGTTACATAATAAAGCTTCTTTTAGTAACATTTTTTGTCTTCTTACGTCGCGTTCTATTAGTTAATGAAATAAATAAAAACCTCAAAAGTTCAATAACTATTGCTAAAAAAAAAAAATGTTACTAAACTGTATGGTTTATTTTATGTTACAGGTCTGGTTTAAAAATCGTCGAGCAAAATGCAGACAGCAACTTCAGCAACAACAGCAACAAGGTCAGCAGCAACAAACACAAACCACACCACCCAAAGTGTCACCAAGGTCCAATCAAACGCAAAACAATGCAACAAAAATTTCATCGAATGCAACAGCGCCAAATAGACGAACATCTCCAGTATCACCACCACGTGGAAAAGAAGCACCTGGATCAAATTCTCCTCTCATGGCAACAAACACGACATTTCCAAGGCTTGGTGCAACACCAACAGGAGGAAGTGGGGCCAGCAGCGCCCTCACTACTCCTTCACCACCCCTTACACCTGGCTCAAGTCAACTGCCACCCTCGTCGTACCCACCTCCTATTAATCAAATTCATCACAGTGCTGAGTATGGCTTCCCTTGGAGTTCGGCGTCACCAGGCTCAGTTAATGCCAGTCAATGTTATGCTGGTCAGACCTACAATAGTTATCAAAATCCTTATGCATCAGGAGATTATTACCAAACACAATTATCTCATATGCACCACAGTCCTCAGAGTAATTACCATCATCATCATTCTCAGTATCATCACAATATGACTCTGACTTCATCCATGTCCCATTTAACGGGTCACCATCATCTTAATGCATCGAACAATGAGATGACAGCATCATCACCTGGTGATTCATCTGATAATTATATTCTGCCTGATCAAAAGTACCAAGCAATGGTCTAGCGTTCAAATCAAGTCGTTGACGACTCTGATACGCTTCAACATTATGACAAGGATGATAATGTTGATGAATAAAGTGGTGTGTTTTGAGGTACGTGAAGGCAATACAATGAGTTTCAACTTTGAAAAATAAAACAATTGAGAGTTTATCTAGTTTAAATAAGATAATATGTGTTAAAATTAATTTTCACACAATTATACTATATGAAGTAATAATTATCTTTAAAAAATGCCATTATTGAACTATTTATTGTAAATTAGTAAAAATGGTATTAAAAAAATGTTATTTCACAATAATTATCCGTATGATCTAAATAGCTAGATGCTGAACCTGTAAAAAATCATCTTCTTTAATCTAATTAATTAAATTACTCAAGATATCGCATCGTAGTTAGTTAATAGAATGATCATTATATTATTACGTTCACATCAGTGAGATAATTTTTTTAGCTGCTTCATCTCTATTGGTGTGAATGATATGACTGCTTAATCAATTTTTTTTTTTTTTTTAACTTATTTATCAAAGTCCCGCAGCATTTAATAATTTTTTTCCATTAATAAATTTAAAAATCGCTTTCAATTGTTCATCGTACATTAAAGAATATTATTTATTAAATCCTACATCATTATAAACACACTAACATATGATTGGTAAACCTATAAATGACTATTTATAAATAATAGTAATAATGCTAATGTTAAATAACGTTATGAACAAAATGTCCTTTTTATCCGCCCGCTGTATAGAATGAAAATGTTAATTACACAAGATTATCTTTAATTGAGGTTGATTTGTAACAGTTTACAATCGAAGTCTTTTTTTTTTTTGTATTGGGATTAAATAATTGCTATAAATGGTAATTATTGTTGTCTTAATAATAATTATGGATAATAATTCATATCAAAAACGGCCAGTAGCCGTGGATTGTAAATATATATATTGTAGTGATATGAAAAAAAAATAAAAATGAATTTGATGAAATGAACTTTAGTGAGCCAATATAACAATGTATAATTAAATTGAAAAAAAAAAACTTCATACACTGCTGATTGATTAAACGTTTGAATGATTAAATTTCTATAATAAATATAGTATAATGTATTGATGAATTTCGTTAATTGCGGTTTATTCGTGATAATAATTAAATGATAAAGCAATGTACCAATGTTCGAGTTACGAACTTGTCGTGAAAGAAGTTAATAATGCTTTATGATTGAATTATGACTGGGATATAATTCTCATGATGAAGCTGTGGAATAGACTGTACACTTTTAGTAATAAATCAATGAATAGTTTCGTAGATATCATGAATCTTGATAAGATTGATAGTGAAAAGTTGGATGATATATAAAAATCACAACAGAACATAATCGTTAATGTATATTTCGTGTATACAATATAAAATTGTATATTATTTGTGAATTTAGACATTTAAATCATATTAGGTAATGATTATTATAATTGAATTGAATTAAAAACAGATTTTACTGTAATCAAAATATTATATTGTGCCCATGACTTTAAATGTGTAAGTTACTTTGTAATAAAAAAAATTAACAATAACGTATGATCCAATACTCTAATGTAAATAAATTATATCTGTAAAAGATACACGATTATGTTATCGTGTGAGATGAAAACAACTTCCTACATTAAAAGAAAATAAAATATCACATATTATTAACTCAAATGTCTATGATTTATTTATTTATTTAGATTTATAATTAATTATTCATTTTACTGATCTTTAATTTTCAGAGTAAAATACTATTAAAATTATTTTCCTCATGAATTAAACCTGTTTCCAATTTTCTACCAACAAAATAAGTCAATATTAATTATATTGATATGCTACATTTAAACTTATTTTATTAAAAATATTTACATCCATTGATTATTTATGAAATATAATTTATTGTTGAAGAAGTAATAATACTTTTTCTAGACATTTATTTTCTTTATATTTCGTAGTAATAAATTATTAGCTTTTCTACAACATATTTATGAAATAAGTTACTCGTTAAACTAGTTCATTTCCTTTAGAGTACTTGAATTAATTACTTCATTATCTAGAGCTGGGTTTAAACTTATTGAACTAGTACGAGCATCAACATCATTATCTATCATTCAAGTATATCTCTTCAATATAATACGTATGATGTTTACTTCATTTCAAAATTATTAAAACTGTATAAGACACATAAAAAGAACGAAAGACCTAAATCATGATCCTTGATTCATACTTTTAATGCCTTTGAGTTGAGAGATATAAATATAGAATCATTGAGGAGCGTTAGGCTTTTATGTATTAAAAAATTCTCTCTACTCCCTCGTGTTTTGTTGACAGCAAAAATAAAAATTGTCATTTGTTCGAGGATTAGGGTCGAATAATCTATGTATTCTGATGGTCAAGAACGATATATGTATAAACAGAATATTATTTCAATGGAAATGAAGAAAAAAATTTATCAGTTGAAAATCTAGTCAGTCTAGATGTTAAAAATATAACAATCACATTTTTTGATTTTTAAGTTAGCTGGTCACAGTGATACATTTTTGCAAGAATTATAATTTATAATATCAACTGGATATATTTTTATAAAATAATTCGAGATAATAATTATTTTGCAATCATAACAGATTATTTAATCAATGAATTAATCAATAAGTTGACTCCTAAATGTGGAATAAATTGACTAAATATCCCTTTAACTGTGATGATATTGTCATACTTATAATTCTTTTTTCAACTTGTCTCAAATGTCCTGCAGACAAATGAGCAATTACTTTACCTCAAATTCATCAAGGAATATGGTTACAGAGGTAAATGGAATCTCTGATTATTAAAGCAGTCATAGTGTAGGTTCAAAGATCCCTACATTGTGTTATTGTCAGTGATCAATCTCAAAAGAGAACTTACTTTTATCCTCTAGGCTATATTAATTCAAATAATGGATTCAATTTAATTGGTGCATCGAGCATGTTAAATCTATTATTTACTTTATATTTATCTATTTATTTTGATGGATTGTTGTTAATTAATTACAGGAGTCATATCGAATCAATTATCAACACTTGAGGATTTATTATTCATATCACAAATAAATGTTATTTGACTTTTTCAAAGTTTTATTAAATAAAATATTTTGAATTTATTTTAATATTCATATATGAATTTCAGCTTTATGCTTTTTAATCTCAACATTTTACCTGCATTTAAATAAATAGGGAAATTTATCCAAACAGTTAATTAATTCTTTGCAGGTGTCTTTTTAAAGGTCTAAACTTTTAGATAGTTTGAAAGATACTAAACATTTTTGTACAAAGGATTTACATGGTTAATGATGTATACGAAAATACGAGTCGAAATTCAAAGCGAGCAAAATGCATATTGAGAGCAGTAAAGGATCAAAACTCACTAATTAGACAGATCACGTGTACTTGTTCTCTATTTGCTGTTTTAATCTCTCTTTTGTTATCTTTTTTATACGCGGCTAAGTTTGTTGCATGGTTGAAATAACGAGGCCTTCGGTCAACGAGTTATCTTTTCGACACACTCTCATCTCTTTCGTTATCCCCCACATCTGTTAATTTCAAGGGATTGAGAGCTCCTTATATACTGCCCCCCCCCCATCAACTCGAAGACTATAAACAGATATTTATTATTTTTATATTGTCAAAAAACCATAGTAGATTCATTAAAATTGCTCTCACGAGACATCTTACTTATTTATTTTTTCCAATAATTGTTTAAAAAAATATTTAATAAATTAATGAGTAACGAATATATTCGTTATAATTATTAATATATTAATTATAATTATACTTGAATAATCATAATTGTTGAAAGAATTGTTATTTATTTTTCATAGAAAATTTTATTTTGATGCACTTGTAAAAGTATTATTGATTAAAAAATGTTATTCTGAGAATTGCATTCATGAGAAAAGAAAAAATAAATAGTATTGCTTCAACACTCAATTTCTTCAATAATAGCATGTCAAAAATATCTATTTCTAAGCAAAAGACATTTTAAAGATTTCTCAAGATAATTTTATTGTTACTAAATACAGGAAATTTTATAAAAAGAAGCAAGAACATGAAAACCGAAATATAAAGGGTAAAATACAAAACACTTATTGGCTTTGCTTAACAAGTGACGAGAAATTTCAAAAAAATGACACTTCCGACAATCTTTATTTATCTTTTGTGTCCAATACCGGATATCTACATCTCTATTTAGTAAGAAAATTTTGAAAAGCGATCATTCTAAGAAATTTTCGGTAAATGATCAAACAAATTGCAAATCCTGTGACGTTGCTTTCATCAAGCGACAACAAACAAAACAGTTTCCCTCTCTCCCCTTTGCATCCCCCAAGACAATGGCCTTGAACTTGGCCGAGTGCAGCGACGAAGAGTTAAAATCGGCTTGCGTTTAGCCGGATCCCATTATAACAACTCTGCGAGAGCCGCTGTAAGCTCGCGGCTCCGTTCGGCTCACTGTGTCACCAGGCTAAGCCTGGACTTACCTACCTATCCTGCTTGCCGGTATTCTGTCTCATTTACTTTCACTTTCTCGTTCTCGCCGACACTTGATTATCTTCTAAACTATTGTGTTTGCTTTATTTTCATCAATTCATTTTCAATCATGCCGATTTTTTCAAAATATCCTCAAGAACGTATCTAGATCTAAGAAGATCTTTGATGAAAGATTGAAAAATATTGAGTTGAATTGAACCACGACTGAAAATGATATTGGTATTCACATATGACTAGCTTATTAAGTATGTTGTTATTGAAATTCCATTTATATTAATTATTAATTAATTTAATTAGGTTATATGTAATGAAAATATTGTACTCAAAATAATGATAGGAATTAATTATAGCTTTAATTAAATGTTATCTTTCCATTTGTTCATTATTATAAATTATTAATTGTTTCAAAAAAATTATATTTGATGATTAATTGATTTTTTAAAATATTTCATATATAAATAAAGATAAAAAATAAAGATCGATTATAGACACCCAAGCTAGATCTTTTAACAAATTGATATTAAATATTATAAAACGATGTAACTAATTGAATCTAAAAATTTCAATAATTACTAATATAATGAAGACTTCTATAACGAGTTGACAGTCAACGAGAGATCAAAGGCTCAACAATTCTATAGGTGGATTTGTTCGTAAATAGATTATTATTTTCTCTTCTCATCGACTTTGGTGAA